CCCATCTGGACAAACACTTTCTCGTTAACACCCACATGAAACACTCCAGGGGCCGAGATGAAGAATCTGAGCACAAAAGTGAAAAGTAGCTCTTACTTTATTCTTCATTACTACATTTTGCATTCGTTGACATATATGCCTATAAACATCTGCAATCCTGCATATTTCATCTTATCTACATCATGACAAAAATGACATAATAATCAATTAACATTAATTATCATGAAACCATGCATAGATTATTTAAAATGTAATGATATCTAAAATTTTCAGAGACAGGAAGCATGTTTAACCATCTTCATTAAACACACAAGGGTTGGCATTACATTACATTTTTACATAATGTAGGTTCATGCAGCTAGTTCTACATTTACCTGTTGTCCGTCGAAGGAAGGGATCCCACAGTCGAGATCAGGAGCAGTATCGAAAAGATGTAGCACTCCATTGTGCAGCTCCTATTTCTTTGCCTGCTCTGACATCCGCTTCTCATTAACTGGGGTTTTGTTATTCATCCACCCCTGTATTTCTCAATAGTTGGATCTCTCAATGCCCCCCCTCTTTCTGTTTTTCTGAAATCACTCTGAGGAGAGATGGCTCATGTCGCATTGTCTAACTGACAATACATAAACTGGGAAAATCAGCGTTCTGTTAAATATAACGTATACTGATGTGTGACATACTCTCTGGTTCATTAGTATGAAAATTTCAACATACATGAGAGTACATGATCTAAACAGATTAATATGAAACATGATCACAACAATTATAGGATATATATATATATGTATATTCAGATCATAGTGGACTGTCAGATTCATTTCAGGCTACAGCATGTTTGATTTTATAAAAGTCAGTTTTATATCACTGCTGCCTGGCGTGCAGCAGGGAAAGTGTTTGTTTCTGTTTCACAATGTGTAACTATTCCCTCATTGGTCATAGTCAGACAGATTTCCCCTAAATCACGTGATTTACAAGAAATCAAGTTTGGACTGTTTGGGTATGGGGTGGAGTGGGCACTGTTTATTTTGTACTGCTTATTTAACACGTAGATGTCCTGTGCAGTTTCCCCTGTAAATTTATAATCTTTTCAATGTGCGTATTCATCAGTGGTCTGATCTGTCCTCAGGGGAATTTAAAAAGCTGCCAAAATATGTTCTGTCTGATCTTATAAAGTGGAGCAGACTTTAGATTTATGACACAGACACAGAGTATTAACAGAATGTAGATAATGGCAAAAAATATATTCAGAGACATGGTTAAAAATTTTATTTTTTTGTGCATGAACAGTTTGGTATAAGATGCAACAAACATAATGACAATTCAGCAATCCAGCAATTCAAGATTACATTGTTAACATTTTTGATAAACCCAAACTGCAAGTGAATGCGTCAGAATTTTACATCTTTATGGATGTTTTACTTTATACTCATAGCTCTTGTGTAAACTTAAACAGCCACAAACGTCAATGTCAACATTTGTGGAAGACGTTAAGCACCACAATGGTGTTCAAATCGGTGTCCAGACTGAGGCTGATCCCTAGAGTCTCGTAAATGTTGCCTGAATTCCAGCTTATTTGGAGATTTAATTGTTGTTCAGTTATAACTTTCTTTTTTAACTCTTTTTTTTAAATATCAACACACAATAGATTATTTTTCAGCATATTCCATGCCATTAATTTAAAAGTTTGTAATTGCATGTCAAAAATAACCTGTGTGATATCTACACTGTGCAAAATTTTAACCACTGTCTTTTATTGTTTTCATTTACTTTATCATTTGCTATTATAGCTACTATATAGCTGCATTTATACCATGTCTAGCTGGTTGTCTTGTTTTGCCTGTTTTTAAAAGCGCTAATGGAGAAGCACCCGTAATCTTATTATATTCAATATATAATGACAATATAGTTTTCTATACTATTCCTTTCAAAAATTCCAGATTAAATAATACATCCGTGTAGCCATCAACATTAAGACTATGCTAGCTCCCATTAATATTGGATCATTTAAGGTAAAATCAAGCCAACATATACTCACAGTAATGCACATGATAAAATGGGTATGTCATGGCCCTGTATAATGCAAAGACATATTTGGCACATGGAAAAAACATCTCTGCCAGCCTCCATTTCACCCCACCAACCACAAGCCATGTGGCCCTGTGCCATATCACCTCCTCACCCATTAATAATCTGCTTCTCCCCACATAGTGATAGTTTTTAAAATTCTTCTGTCCAGCAAACAAGATAAGCAACCGATCCACATGTTTAGTTTTACTTATTCTTCAAGATAATTTAAAACAAATAGAACAGTTTCAGTTTTTCAGAGCTTTACATAAAATCAAAAAAATGTCAGTCCACTGTTGCAGCATCCTCCTACCAGGAAAAACCCAGGGGATTGAAAAGTCAAAGTCCAGGGTCAGGAAGCTCAATAAAAAAAAGAGATTTCAAATTGAGAAATCTACATTTTAAAAGCCAAACATCAGATCTGTTAATAATCACAAATACATGAATTCTCTGTTAAAAAGTTCCTCATAGATGCTATCATTAATCAACTTCAACAAGAAATTTAAAATCCAGTATGGGCCCTTCAAAGTCGAACTTTTTCGCAGCAGTTAAACTGCAGTCCCTTCTTTGCACCCAGCTCCATGACATCAATGAATTCCCATGTCGATCTCTGTATTGTCACAGTAAGAAGTAAGAGGAAGTAAGCAAGAGTCTGGGGCATGATGTCCATCCACAACTCCTGGAAATGGAGAAGTAACACAAGAATTGCGTTTGGACAATCAACGCCAGACTCCCTGTCAAACTTGGGATGAGCAGCATCTCTTAGCCCTGGGAATAAATCCTGTAAGGGATGCATGGTTCAATAAAATATCAAAGGCAATGAATTAAAACATGTGCAGCAATATCTATTATAAAACACATTGACATTTTTAAGTGTTTGTTCAAGCTGTTGCGGTTTGTTAGGAGACTGAAGTATTAATTAAATGTCAAAAAAAGTAGGCCACACACTCAAAAATGTTATCCAAGAGTAGCTGTTAAGAAAAAGTATACATGTTCCGTAGGTTTGTACCGCTAAATGCTATTTTAAAATGTATATATTGTTCATCTAACATCTAACAAATTGTACTAAAAAGTGAAAACTATAACTATTTTAATACTTACACCATGCACCATCAATAATATAGTGATAATAGTCCCAGAGAAGCAGGTATTAATTAATCATCATCCCTGTGCAAATAAAATATTAAACTCTTTCATTCTAACTTTCTTCAGATATCGTTAAGTTCACTCTCCTCTGCGTCCGTCCTCAACCACTGCTTGTTCAGTTTGTCCATGTCCCCTCTCTATCTCTTCCCCTCTATCCATCTCATTTCATGCAGGAGTGGGGTTACCTAAGAGACCCAGCCTCAATGGAGAAAATCTCTTTTTCTACAATTAACTGTGAAAGTGACAGAAGGAAAAGAAGGGAGGGATCTGCAGAGGGGTGCACGCTCAGAGAAGAAAAGGAGAGAGGGAAGGACGCAAGTGCGCATGGCAGGTAGAGAGACATGAAGTTAACTAATATTTGCGCAAAAATTTAAAGTTTCAGCTTCATAACTTTTAGAATAAATGCCTGTGATGAAAAGTGACTGCAGTTATAGAAAGCTTAGTTGAATGTTTGAACCCTTACAAGGCAGCATTTAGGTGTCTCATACAAGTTTTTGATTTGGGAAATCAATTCTAAATTGAAATGTATATGATAAACTAACATGTTGAGTAAAGGATATATTTTATGTCCTACACTGGGACTAAGATTTCCATGCACACTCTTAATAAATATATAAATTCCACATTTGTAGCACCTCATACTTGAATTGGGATTAGGCCAAATTAGGTTGCATTACACTGATCCCAGTGAAAGTGAATTATGTCCATCACCATAATCTCTAAAAATGCAGAGGGAGTGACCGCTGGGTTTCCATGGAGAGATGTACACAAAAGGGTGTGGCGTGGGAATGTCCTCGGGGGTCAGGAGTGAGGGTGAAGGGGTCAGAGGTCAGAGCCAGCTGGACAGCACACAAGAGGAGACGAGGGTGAGAAAAGGAGGCGAGGGGGTAGTCCACAGACTGACTGACTGGACCCAACGGGACATTAACATTGAACTGATGGGAGGCTCACTGACCAATGCCTATTCAGGGAGAAACTAAGCTATGACACACTCATGTGTAATGGTCCGTGGTAATTGACAAGTGACAAGACGCTCATTGTGGATGCAAAAGCAGATTTCAAAATGCAGCGGTGGATTACAAGCTGTACGTCGTGGTATATAGTGGTTATATGGGGTTATTGAACTAAATGATGCAAACATACTTGTATACTGATGATTATAAGTATTAACATTAACTGGATAATATTGAAAATGTTATCAAAGTTAAATCTTTCCAAAAAGAGGCCTGTAGGCATATTGGGATGTAACTTTAATATCAGTTTGTAGTTAAAGGACCGTATGCACCAGTTATCACCATTTGTATTCCAATAGTTTTAACTGAACACAGCTTATTTCCTGTGTTGTATCGTTCTTTGCACAGTTTCTTCTTTTCCCTCATCAAGGATCGTAGACTTAAAGGGACAAAATGACCATTTGTATATTAGTCATGCTGGGTTACCTTGAATTTGTGAAGAAAACTTTGCTGTCCTCTCATGCCTTCATAGAAAACAGCGAACATATTGATTTATTGATTGATGGGGGACCATGTTTGACAACAGCAAAACTATAAGAAAACATCCATTTACAAACTCTCACACAACTGGTGCAGAATAATCCAAGTCTCATTTATCCTGTTGTACCCTCAGTACTTCCATACATGTGCATTTTCTCCAAAAACCTTAGTATTTAAGTCTGGATTTGAAGAAAGCTTAGATAAGTCTCTTTCAGTTATTTGTTAAGTAGCGAGGTTTTAGCAAAAATGCATATGTTTGGAAGTGCTGAGCATACGACTGGACATATGAGACTTGGATTATACTGCACAAGTTGTGTGAGATTTTGTAAATGGATGTTTTGTAGTCCCCAATCAATTAATAAAATAATATGTTGCCATTTTATATGGAGACATAGCATGACTAACTGATATACAAATGGTCATTTTGTGGGTGACGTATTCCTTTACCATGTACTAAATGACAGTTAAAGCCCGGTCAAACATGTTTCTGGAGTCATAAATTTCACATTTCAAATAAGTTTGGTTTGTGTTGAGAAACGTGAACAAAAAAATTAAATATAAATACACAGATGCATTTTAAGATTCATATGTTGTATCGTTTCCCGTGGTTGTAGATGGTCCTTGTACTTCAAGGGTGCAGACAGGAAGGTGAGCGTCTGCGAGCTCTGTCTTCCATGTGGCTGATAGTGAAGGTCAGGTCAGCGAGGGCAGCAAGCAGTCTGGATTGGGGCCACACTCTGGTGGCCTGAAAAAGACAATGTTGGGGCCCAACCCAGGGGGTCAAGATGCAAATAGTAACCCCTGAGTGAAAGGCATAGAGCAGATCAATGTTCTCACATTACTCTTGCTGCCCATGACTGTGAATGTGCACGCCTACACACCACATGAGGTTTTCATATCTAATGAAATTCACTCTCAACAATAGAGAAGGCAGCTGTATTTTAACAAAGGTAGAAGTATGACGTCATAAGTGAGCATTAAAATAACCATGATATCTGTTAAATTGTGAAAAACATTGTATTTAATGTTGAATCCACAATTGCAAAAAAATATATATCATTTTGAAACAGCAAAGTTTGCATAACCAGAACAAATGTGAAGTTTGTCCATACAGCTTTATGAGAGCTGCAGCAACAACACTGTGGTCTGGCCCTCCACACTCATCCAGCACATGTGTAGCAGATGAAATTCAGTTTCTCTGTCTCAGGCAAGCCGACCCATTGCTGCCTCCCAGTGGCCTCAATAGCACCTGTAACACCACAGTCATATTCCCCCTCAGATCCTTGTCCCGGGGCCCAGTTCTGGTAACAGCCAGCAGTTGACTCAGTCCAGAACCAAAAGTTAAATTTACAAGTGTAGCGTAGACCTAACCAAACATGGGGGGATGTGGCGTTCTTTGCCTTTTCAGCCACCTTCCCCTGAATGTCCTCAGCGGTAATGTGGACAAGGTCAGTATGGTGCTCCCTGCAGTAACCCAGAGCTTCAATCCATGTCATATTTTCCTGAATTAATATCAGGTTTCCTTTTAAATAGAGGAAAACAGAACTTTATTCATCATGCAAATGTATGCTAAATGAACACAAAGGCAGGTGATGATTTAAAACATACCTGTAGACAAGCTTTGACTGTTTTCAGTGGTCTTTAGAGTAGAAGCCTGTGTAGTGGTCGAGGCCTGTGTAGTGGTCAAGGCCGAAGTCCCCATCAGTGTTGTTAATGTAGAGACACCGTCTGTAGTAACTCGTGCAATAGTTGTGGAAGGTTGCTGTGTTGCTGTCGTAGTTGACATTACTGTTGTTGCATTGTTGAGCTCAGTGCTTGACATATTTGACACAAGATCTGTGGTATTTGGTGTTGTCAGTCCACCGGTAGACGTTGTTTCTTCCATGGTGACATTAATAGCCGGGGTTTGATTCTCAGTAGCCACAGTCAGATGTAATGTTGTCATGACCTCTGAAGTGATCGGAAGGGTACTTGTTTGATTGGTGGTTGTTGGAATTGATTTCCTTGCTGTAAGAGTAAGTAATAAAAGAATAGACACAGGTTACAGATGCAGCTGTGTTGTGTCAGGTTCAGATGGAGGACCAAGTCATAAACGAGAAATAATTCACTTCCAGGCAACATTCAAAAAATGTTTGTGACAGGGAGGGGGGTAATGATTTTAAGAGGAGAAAAAGTTTTTAAAAATCAATGTGTTCATACAACCAAGAAGAGTCTGTGTATTTCAGTATTTGGGGTGGGAGTTGAAACAAAGCACAAATATAAGTCAGTTTTAAAAACTATACAAAAAAGATATTTTTGGCAGATATATGGACGAGGAAAGGTTGTGTTAGGGGAGTGCATATTTATTTTGTAACACTGGGTGGTACATACTGTAAATAAATAGACTGGGGATAGTTGTATATTAGTTGCAAATAAAGTTGGGGATTTGTTGAAGTTATATATGAGTTAGAAGAAGAAATGTAAGACAGGGGTAGGGACATATAAGTTTTACTTCTACCTACTCCTTCACGGACAGTGTTATCTTTGTCTTGTTCGTTTTTTTATTATGTTTTTTTTTTTTTAGTTCCAAATAAAGTCATTCATTCATAATTTTACAAGTTAAAAGAAAGTCTCAAATCAAGATAAACAAGTCCTAAGTCAAGTACTCAGTCCTAAACTTTGAGTTTCATGAACAAGTCATAATGCACTCTTCACCTAATGTCATTTTAACAACAGAGTAATAATTCATTAAATTTACAAAAATCATGAATGCATTTAAAAATTTGCATTTATAGATTAAAACAAGTTTGTTATAAGTTGTGTTTCTGTCTGTGTAGTGCACTTTTTTTGTTGACTACCGAGTAGTTTTTGTATGCAAACAAAATTCTTAGGTATCATTTTTTCCAGCTGCCGCCCAGTAATGTAACATTAATTCCTCTTTATTTTTTTTCTAGTGGCTTTTTGCCTTAATTTGATAGGACAGCTACACTATGAAAGGGGGAGAGAGAAGGGGAATGACATGCAGCAAAGGGCCATGGGTTGGAATCAAACCCACTGCCGCTGCGGCAAGGACACACCCTCTGTACATCAGGCGCCTGCTCTACCAGGTGAGCACCCTGTCATGTTAGTTGTCATGGTTCTCGCCTGCAGCTTGCTTGGGTGCTTACAGATTGGTTCAGACAAGGTGGATCTGGGGAATTTAGAGTGTTTTCACACTTGGTCCTTTTTATGAGCTGAACTGAGTCCTCTTAAAGTGGACCAACAGAAAAGGGACTCAGTTATTTTGTGTTCACATTGTCAGTTCATTTCAAAGAGGACTCAGCTCTCTGTCTGATAAACTAAAGCTCTGATGAGGCCTCAGTCCTCTTTCTGCTCACACCATAGCCTATATAAATATGGATTGACATAGTTTTGTTTTTACTTTGTTGTAGCACTGCAGTGAGGTTATGAAGCCCCTCACTTTCAGATCTACTTAAAAGTGGAGGAAAACCTTAGTGTTTCTGTGCTGTAGGCTGTTGCTGTTTGATGTATTCTGTATTCCACATCTGAAGATGTGCAGTATCTTCTGTGGACCAAACTAAACCTCGTCCTGCGTCAATGCACGTGTTACAGGCTGACGTGGTTTTGCCTGGTCTTTCAAGCGTACCAGTGCAACAGCATGTGATCTAGAGGGCTGAATACAACGGCAAAGTGCTAAGCCAACTTGGAGTGCTTTGTGTTCACAGTGCACAGGTTAAATGAACTGCAGCGTGAACTTGAAGCAAACCGAACTCAGACCACACCCGAGGTGGTCTGAGTTCGGTTCGCTTCAGAGGGGTCCGAGTCCTCTTGGAGTGTTCACATATGTGCGAAAAATGCTGAGTCATTGCTCCGAGTCTGTTTAGAGGGCTGAAAAGGACCGAGTGTGAAAACACCCTAAGTGTTGACTTGCTGGGAATGAATAGCTTTAATGTTAGTTGATTCAAGAAAATATTTGATTTGTGGCACACTTTTTAAAAACACATACATTTTAATCTTTGGGTTTGGGGGAAGGTTTCAGGTATTTTCAAATCAAAAGTCTCAAGTCCAAGTAAAGTGACAAGTCACTGGTGTTAAAGTTGAAGTCGAGTTGCAAGTATTTTTTGATTTTGTAAAGCTGATTGTAAATTCATAAGATTTGTGACTCTAGCCCGAGCCATGCCTCTGACTAGATTACAAAATATTATATAAAGACCACTTATCTGACAGAGAAAGCATGTAATACAGCAGCTTACCCCCACGACAAACAAATTTGGGCGTGATGCTGCATTTCCGGTCATTCCACTTCCCTCCGTCTCTGAACACAGCAAGAACACAGTCCTGATCTTGTAAGTTACTTGGTTTATATGGTTTCCAGAACCGGAATGATGAATTGCTCCCATCAGACCACTTCCAGGGATCTTTGAAGAGGCCAATCCACACATTTTGTGAGAAAGACACATTACGTACTGCCGCATTCTCCTCCGCTGAGTGTATGCTGATGAGATCAGACGACAAGCTCCTGCAGTGATTCTGAGCATCCCTCCATGATTTGGCCTCAGCAACAAATTTGAGAGCGCTGTCATCACTGTTGCCTGCAAGTCCAAAGGTTTGACATTTTAAACATAGCAATGTCTTAAATATTCATGCCATTGGAAATTCTCTCTGACTCTGACTGAATTAACGCCATTTCACTTACCATGACAAACAAAACTTTTTCCATTTCTACAGTCACTTTCAATCCACTCGCCGTGTTGATCCATTTCTGCACAGGCGTCTTTATTATTTGTTTTTGGTTCTCCCTTCTTCCAGTTAAAATAATCCAGTTTTTGATCAGGCCAGGACCAATGCCACATCCACACATCTCCAGCCTCCAGTCCTATCCAGGCTCTGATAACGTCATTTGAAACTAAACTGATCAAATTATTCATATCTGTTGAGTTATGAATCGTAGCTAAGTCTGTGTACATCTCTCTACAGTAGGCCTTTGCTTCTGCGTAGGTCTTAGACACGTTTATAAGGTGAAAATCTGAAGATCCCAGTGCGAAGGAGCAAAATCCTGTCAAAGTACAGAAAACTTGTTACAGCAGTTTAAATGCCAACAATAACAACAAAAACAATCCTGTCTCCACAAATAGCCAGCCACATTAATGCATTCACATCATAGATTAACAAATATGATATGAGGACAACAAGCATGTGAGGTTCAAACCTGAGATATAAAGCAGATACAAAGTTTGAGTCCCCTTCATCTTGCTGAATCTGTTTTCAGTCAAGAGCAAAACAAAAAGAAAAACAAATTGTGTAAAGGTTAACTTATTATTCTGTTATGATCCGTTGCTGTCTGACATGAGGTGCTAGCAGATGTGAACAGCACAATGTATGTCAGAAGAATGCCACTTGGCTTGTTAAGAGACTGCTCTTCAGCAGCCGCTAAAGACAAAGTAGTTTATCAGGATTCCTGCTCTTTTGCACAGACTGTACAGCCCACTGCTTCCTGGTTTTCTGAGATGAGAACAGTTACCTGAAATACAGTGATCAACAGTGGGCAGCATTGTGAGGCTGGTGACACATGAATAATCTCGGCCAGGGGTCTTAAAAATGTACCAGACCAAGGACCCCTCAGCTGAATTTAAGACGGGGCAGGGACCCTCTACTACATATAAGGTATAAAACTGAGCTGCACAGTAAACTGGGTCTACAATGACGTTAGGGCAGCCTAAAGTACCATGTATTAACATACCTTTTTAATGGTGCATTCAATACTAAGACACTAAGGTAATAATTACTGGTACAGTCTTAATAGCACGTAAATGTTATCTGACTAGTTTGCCTTGTTGTTATGGACATGTGCTGCAGAGTTATTTAGCATTGGCTAGCTAACATGATTGCAAAGGTTTCATGGGTAAGAGTCAGTATATCATTAATGTTGTGTGCTGTAAAATAAGAGGGTTTTTTTTTTTTAATTAATAATTTTAGTTAACGTATTTTAAAGCATATTTTAATTCTTTGGGAAAACAATCAAACAAAACAAAGACAAACTTAATTTAAAATTTAAATGACGTAACACTAATTTGAGGACCCAGGGTCAATGCTCTGTCATTATTTGGCAACAGGTTGCATTTAACATTACACATAATTACACTACATGCTCTGGAAGTTACTTTAAAATCACCCTGCCCTGCCAGTCATGGAGAAATAACATCCAGTCCGAGTGTGACTTTTTATATCTTGTCCATCAGTGACAGGGTTCGTCAAGAATAAAGGTGAGCATGTTGTTGTGCATGTAAACCTCTTTTCAGTGTCTCCCTTCCCACGTCCTACATTGGAGACAAACACTGACAACGGTTTAGGACAAATCTAACACATATTTTATTACTTAAAATATCTCAGTTGATGGAGAGCGTTAGCAATTATGTATGTCAGGGGTGTCAAACTCATTTTAGTTCATAGCCACATACAGCCCAACTTGATCAAGTGGGCCGGAGCAATAAAACCATTGCATAACCTCTAAAATAACAACAGCTCCAATTTTTTTCCTTTCTTTTCTGTAAAGAAGTACATGTACATTTATAAACGTACATGTGTTTATAAGACAGATGAACAGCCTGGGATGTTGTAGGAAAAATAAGTGCATTTTCAATAATATGTCTCAGTTTTCCCACATTCAGTCTACTTCTCACTGTCATTACATGTGCATTTATCCATACTAATACTACCACTGATATTGCTTTAGAATAGAAGTTCAATTCAGATTCTTTGGTACTGAAGCTGCTGATTGACAATATTGTGCACAGTGTTCAATACCTTTAAGTGTCGTGGTCATTTCAACAGCTCCTAGGCCACTTAGTTTGTGATGTCTCGGTTTAAACTTGTGTTACTGTTCCTTTTCCAGAGATCCACAGTACTCACATGAGGCAGGGGAAAAGTTTAATGAGGTTTATTGAGACTACAAAAAAGAAAAACAAAATGACAGGTCAAGTCCTTCCAAAATTATGTCTTTTGTGGTCCACTACCGACTCGATGTCCTATTTCTATGTATTCTCATCGTATTCAGGTTATCATACTTCAACACTGCATAACACGATCGCATGACGTTGTCCGCAATATATAATATATAATATATAAATATAAACAGAACTCTAGCAGTCAACTACTATACACTATTCAAAATATACAGAAACTGTTGTGTAAACTTAAATATCGTCAGAACCTATATGATGTATCATATCAACACCAATTTTCTTACTACATATTGATATGTGCTGAAGTGGCTCGCTTTTTTAGACAACTAAATTCGGGTCAGGGTGGGAAAGCCTCTGAAGCAGCATTTTACATGAAGCAGATATTCACTGTTTAACCTGCTCCTAAAACCTTGCACCTCTTAGCCTAGTCATCTAGTGGGCCGGATTGGATCCTTTGAAGGGCTGCTTCTGGCCCACGGGCCGTATGTTTGACACCCCTGATTTATATGGTTGGAGGTTCGATCTCTGGATCCTCCTATGTGTCCATGATCACTACACTGAGAAAAAGGAGTTATTGAATCATAAAAATCATTCACTAAAATATTAGATGAATTCACTTAAGTATTGACAAAGCAAAAGTAGTCAATCTGAAAAGAAAAGCAGTATTTTTAGATCCTGTTTACTGGAAAATGTTACTGTCTGGGGGTTCTGCGTCTTACATGAGGGCAGCTCTTGTGACAAGGCTGTCTAGTTTCCCATAAGGTTTTTTTCTTAGAAAGTTTGGTGACAACATGAACATTTAAAACAGTTTAATCGCGTGAAAAAAAAGTAGATGTTGCTTGACAGAAACTGCAAGTCACTTCTGTACTAGTGTTAAAAACGTGTTGAGACTGATTAACTGTTTGGAAAGTACAACTCATTGTTCACTTGACAGCAAGGAAGTCTGAAGACGACCTCAAAGCATTACAAAAACAGAACACTGTGTTAAATATTTCAGATGGTGAAAAATGATACCCAACAACATCATTGGAGCATTAAAAAGTTGTGCAACACTGTTCCCCTCCTGTCATAGGCAAAAGCATTCCAGCACTTCTTGTAGGTGTGGCTGTCCAAGAGTTGGCTCAGATTAGATCCGCTGTGCCAGAATTAGGCTACCCAAAAAACACAGCATGTCTGTACTGAATGTACTGAAATTTACCATCTCATACTTAAGTGTTTGTATATCAGGACCTCATCATGACCAGAATAACTATGTCTTTTCCCTTTATTTGTTCAAGTAGGGATCTTGTGCCAGTTATATGCAAATATGCAATGTGTCATTTTCCATTACTTCGCCCTGAATACATCAGTCTTGTACCCTTTTGTTGGTTGTTTGTTTTTTGGAAGGTCGTTTACTCCATTTCAGGACAATATATGGTGCAAAAGGAAAAACGAACAGTGAATGTAATCTATCATGATTTTAATGCATTTGTTCGAGCAAATAAATAAACACATGAAACACAATTAAAATGAGCAAAAATCAGAACGATGAAATAATAAGTGAAGCGGAACATGTACTGCAGGAGTGTCATATGACAGCGCTGTTATGGGTGGTCCCATGAGACATTTTGGCTCTAGGGATACTGGCACTGAGCCACCATGGCCTGTAAACAACAACAGCAGCCGCGTCAAGTAGAAGTAAACTGGATCTGAGTATCGGCCTGTTGTCTGGCGCTGGTCTCATTACCACAAGTACAGTAAGGCTGTTTTCAACAATGCGTCGAAGGTGTGTCTGGTAAGTATTTCCAACCTTCAAACGACCACGAGCTATTTTGTCAGCAACCGCTTCTCCAGACCGAACCGTGCAGCGAGCTAATGTTAGCCACATTAGCTAGGTTAGCCGTAATCACAGCTAACAAGCTAACCGAAGCTAGCTAGAAAACATTGCGCTATTTGTGCCGATTTATTCAAGTGGTTTGATGAGCGTCGAGTTACTAAGCGCTACACGTCTGGATGAGTAGCGGGGTATGTTTTTAGTCTAGTTTTACGAAATGTTACAGAGTGTACTATTAGCCAGACATGGGAACCAAAGCTAACGTTAGCTTTCTCAAGGGGCTTTCGAGCTTTTATGGATTTGCAGCTAGCTAGCTAGCTAGCTAACTAATGGTAGGACATTATTTATGTGTTGCGGTCGGTAATGCACCATATTTATATTTACTTATTAAAAATACTCATAGGCACTGGCACTTCTGTTTGAGGTTAGAGATTTACATTCACTTAATACGGTTCTCGGATTAACGTAAATGTCAACGTTACTGCGTATCGTTAGCAGCATTTAGCAAACGTGTAACATTAATACGATGCCAACAGCGGCCAGCTAGCGTTAACAACACTGACTAATGTAAGCAGATCTTAATGTACTTTATGTTTTGTGCAGGTTAAACAACGATTCTCCAACTATGCACAAAACGTTGCTAAATCTCAGTGTTTTTTCTTTTAATTTGATTAAGTTAATCAGGGCGAATCTTGTAAAACAATTTGTATTTGGGGCGTCCGATTAGCACATAAACAATGTGGTTTTAATCACAGTCCGTTCAACACATCACTCTTTCTGTGTGACAGTTAATGCATATGAGGTTTAATTTGGAGTTTTTGTGTGACAGAGAGCTTGACTAACATTTCTTGTTGGGAAATGTGGTAGTTAACTGCAGTGTGTCCTCAGACTATGGCCACAACTAAACACTAACGATAGTTGTCTTAGGGAGACAGTTGTCTATAAATGTTCAGAAACAGTGAAAAATGACATCTAATAAAGTCCAGGCTGTGTTCAAATGTCTTGTTTCGTCTGACCCACAGTCCAACACCCAAATATGTTCACTTGCTAATTATTTAAAATAGAGTAAAAACAGCAAATCCTTGGAGCCAGATGCTGGCAGGCAGCTTGATATATGGTAGAAATTATTAATAAATTGTCAAAATGGCTCATAGTAAAATTCTGCTGATTGACTAATCATGTACATATTTGAGCTCTATTGGAAAGACTTTTTTCCAGCTTGTTCAAAAAGCTAATTACGTCCTTTTGTGTCACCCTCAGATTGATATCCTTCAGACGGGACCTCATCCTCTCCACTGGGTAGCTTACTCGCCATGTCCTCACAGCAGCCCAACAGTTCAGCCTCCAACAGCCCCACCAACGTCTTAGGATCTCCTTTCTCAGTTATCAGCCCCTCACTCAACTCCCCAGTGGTCTCACCCTCTTTGGGATTTGGACCCATCAGCAACAGTCAGGTAACTGAACGCCATCAGAAAGTGTGTGTGAATTGATGTTGTGATGCACTTCTGTTTTGTATTTAAGGGATTCAATTGCTGTAGGGTACTGGTGTTTGTTTACATGGGGCAGAGGCTACACATGTTTTTTTTTTTGTTTGTTTTTTT